GTGAGAACTTTAGGGACCAAATTAGTTATTTACCAAAAAAAAAATTGTGTAAAGCAAAAGGAAATAGTGTTTGTTATTGTTAGAGATAAAAGTGGGTGTTGAGAAATGAAAATAGAATGAGTGAGTGAAGCGAAAGAAAGTGCTACGGGTTCAGAGAGAAACGCAGCAGAGCAAAAATATTATTGATGTATTATGTGTCAAATACAGGACATATATACAGGTGTATAATAACAACTGTTATAAGGCAAATAATAAAACTAAATAATAACAGCAAATATTACGTATCCTTTATATCCCCCCTCAAACTAAACTGGTATGTAGAAACAACATTTAGTTTGGGTTTTAAGCTTTGAAAGATGGTTGTTGAAGGAGATTTGGTTAGAAGATCAGCCACTTGAAACTGTGAAGGTATATGCTTGACTTCAATGAGACCTTCTGCTACTCTTTCTCTTACAAACCACAAGTCAAGTTCAAAATGTTTGGACTTGGAATGAAGGACTGGATTAGCAGTAAGGAGAACAGGACCCAAGTTGTCACACCAGATTAATGGTTGTCTGGTGTGCTACTCTTTCTGTTAATAAGGACTGAATCCATGTAATTTTAGATACTGTGGCAGCCAGGCTCCTAAATTCTGCTTCCCTACTTGATCTGGAAACAGTGTGTTGCTTCTTAGCCATCCAAGAGACTAGATTTTTTCCCAAATACACACAGTATCCTGTTGTAGACCTCATATCTGTTCTGTCCACTGCCCAATCTGAATCTGCAAACCCAGTTATTGGTTGACTGGGTGATTTTTGAAAATGTAAACCTTGGTCTTTTGTACCACTCAAGTATCGTAGCAATCTTTTTACACATTTCCAATGAAATTCCAGGGGTTTGTGCATAAACAAGCACAATTTGTTTATAGAATAGGCTATGTCAGGTCGAGTTATGGTGGCATATTGAAGAGCTCCAAGAACACTTCTGTATAGACTGGGATTGTCAAAGTTCTCTGTTGAATCTGTTGGCATTCTACAGCTAGGAGGAAGAGGTGTCTTTATTGGTTTTGGAATCCTGCATATTAAGTTTAGTCAGCAAATTATTTATATATGTTGATTGAGTTAGAAGCATACTTCCCTGTGTATCATAGTGAACCTGCAATCCGAGAAAATAATGTAACTTTCCCAAGTCTTTCAAAGGGAACAGAGCATTCAATCTGTTAATAAGATTCTGTATTAATGTTGGAGAGCTCCCTGTGATCAAAATATCATCCACATAGACTAATATATATATTGTGTGAACAGCAGTAACAAGAATAAAAAGAGAATTATCACATTTTGCTGGTTTAAAACCAAAAGCGATCAAAGTAGAAGCAAGCTTAGCAAACCAAGCTCTAGGAGCTTGTTTAAGGCCATATATGGCCTTGTTAAGCCTGCAGACAAGAGTAGGATGTTGAGTATTGAACCCCTCATGTTGTTTCATATATATATATATCCTCTTTTAATGTACCATTTAAGAAAGCATTATTTACATCAATTTGTCTTATTGGCCATCCTTTTGTAAGAGCAATAGAAAGAATTATTCTTATAGTTACAGGTTTAATAACTAGACTAAAAGTTTCTGTATAATCAAGACCTTCTTGTTGACTAAAACCCCTAGCTACAAGTCTAGCTTTGTGTTGAGAAATTGTACCATCAGGTTTGTATTTTAATTTGAATATCCACTTTGATCCTATTGCTTTCCGATGTGGTGGTAGAGGAACTAAGTCCCATGTCTGATTCCTAGTGAGAGCAAGGTATTCTTCTTTCATAGCATTAAACCATTTCAAATCTTGTAGGGCTAAAGTAACAGTACTAGGTTCTGTCTCAACTATGAGGACTCTAGGTTTGAATATACCAGACTTGGACCTAGTTATCATAGTATGCGAGTTTTCAGTTACATGAGGATCTATGCCATGAGATATGTTATGATGAGAAGTAGAGCCAATTGCTACTTGATTGTGATTGGTATTTTCAGGTATGAGATTTTGATTTTCATCCGTAAAAATTGTGTCATTACCATGATGTGGAACACTATGTACAATAGGTATAGTTGGGTAAGAGATATTCACAGGGTTAGGAGTAGCATGTGTCTCTGTGAAAAAAACTGTTTTCTTTGACAGGAAAAGTTTTTTCATCAAACACCACATGTCTAGAGACATAAATCTTTCCAGATGATGTCATGCATTTATAACCCTTATGAATTGTACTATACCCCAAAAAGATACACAATTGAGATTTTGGATCCATTTTTATCCTATTGTATGGTCTTAAATGAGGGAAACAAACACAACCAAATGGCTTGAAGAGAGTATAATCAGAAAGTTTGAGAAACAACATTTCAAAAGGAGATTTCCATTTTATTACATATGAAGGTATTCGATTTATGACAAAAAGTGTTGCAGCAAAAGCATCAGTCCAAAATGAAAAAGGCAAACCAGAATCAGTTAATAATGTGAGCCCGATTTTAGTCAAGTGCTTATGTTTTCTCTTAGCTGAGCCATTTTGTTCATGAGTGTATGCACAACTATTAATCTATGTTGAATACCATTTTGCTTGAGAAATTTAGAAAAAACAGTGTACTCTTTACCTTCGTCAGTTTGTAAGGTTTTGATTTTTTTATTTAACTGAAGTTCAACCATATCCTTGAATTGAATAAAACAATTTAGAGCTTCAGATTTATTTTGCAAGAAATAAAGCCATGTAAACTTCGAAAAGGCGTCTACAAAAATGATATAGTACCTGAATCCATCTCTACTTGGTGTAGGTGAAGGGCCCCAAATATCGGAATAGATCATTTCAAGAGGATCATTGTAAACAATTTTAGAAATGGAAAAAGGTAATTTATGAGATTTACCAATACAACAGGATGAGCAAACAAATGGCATTTTATTCTCAGCAACAACAATATTACAAGACACCATTACACGTTTCAGTGCTTTAAAAGAACAATGTGCTAGCCTAGAGTGCCATAGAGACACATCATTACAAGATACAATATTATAGAGAGCAGTGACAACGCCCAATGGTTGTACAATATCAGTGTGTGTGTGGATGGGTCGAAGGTTATCAAAGACATATAATCCATCTTTAAGATGCCCTTTGAGAAGAACCATCTTTGTTTCCTGAGATTTTACAATGCATTCAGTAGGATAAATTTTGACAAATACTTTGTTATCATTGGTAAATTTAGATATACTAAGCAAATTCTTTGATATGTTAGGAACATACTTGATGTTGGGCAATGAGAAGGTAACATTTGATTGAGCAGTATGCATTTTAGAGTATCCTATATGAGAAATTAACAGGCTATTACCATCACTTACAAGGACATGTTGCTTACCTTGGTACTCCTGCTTTGTACTCAGGTTGGAAATGTCATTTGTGAAGTGATCGGATGCTCCTGAATCCGGGTACCACATGTCATCTGCTTGAGCATGAAGAGAAGAGGCCAACATTGCTTCTTGTTGACTCTCTGTAGTGTTGAGATTCGTTGTGTTCTGTTGCGTGGCTGGATCAGAAAGATTCTCATCAAATCGTCTCCAGCAGTGAAAAGCCGAATGTCCATTCTTGTCGCATAATTGGCACTGAATCTTGGGTCCTCGTCCTCCATTGTTGTACCCTTGTTTTACAAAACGGCCCCTTCCTCGATTTTGTCCGCGACCAAAACCTCTTCCTCTGGTAGAATTTGATCCTCCCCTTTTTTGCATTATGGGGTTTTGGGCAAGATTTGCCTGAATTGTTTCAGATTCTTTCTGTTTGCGACGTTCAAGCCGCTCTTCTTGATGAAGCAAGAGAGCTTCAATCTCAGGAACCGTATAGGGTTCGCTTCTCGTTAGACACGAGGTCTCAAGAGGGTCATATTCCTCCGGTAATCCATCAAAAATAAAATCGATGTGCTCTTCTAAAGACACTGGAGAGCCAATCGCTGCCAATGTTTCTGTTAATTGCTTTATCTGCAACAAGTAGTGACTCATCGGTCCCGTTTTACAAACATTGCGAAGTTGAATCTTGATCTGTTTGACCCTTGCCTTTGTTTGGGAAGCAAAATACGTTTTCAGTACACTCCAAATCTGGTAGCACCAGGTGCATCCTGCTACTCGAATCTTGAATGAGGGCTCCATGGATTCTAACATCCATGATTTGAGGAGAGAATCTTGCTGTTCGAAGTTCTCGAAGAGAGGATTAATTCGATTTTTGGTTGCATCTTCCTTCGATAGTAATTCTTAAGGGATTGCATCTGCGCCGACAATGTGTTGCTTCAATTTGTGGCCCTTAATCGTTGATTCAGCATGTTCAAACCATATGAGAAAGTTATCGTCGCTCAATTTAGTGGAGATGGAGGACGAAAACATGTGGGGAAAAAAGGGTTGCGATGCGGAAGCTTCTACCATAGCCCTAGGGTTCGAGAGGCTATACTGATACCATGTTGAGGAACGAAAATAGAATGAATAAGTGAAGCGAAAGCAAGTGCTACGGGTTCAGAGAGAAACGCAGCAGAGCAAAAATATTATTGATGTATTATGTGTCAAATACAAGACATATATACATGTGTATAATAACAACTATTATAAGAACTATTATAAGGCAAATAATAAAACTAAATAAAAACAGTAAATATTACGTATCCTTTATAGTGGGGTTGAATATAATTAATTAAATTCAAGAAGTTTGATATATTTGTCTTTCCTCTTACTACTTACAATCATGCATACAATAACAACATACACATTTCCCGTGAGTTCCTATTTCCTACCCTCTTGGACTAAGTCCTTATCCATGTGATCAAAATAATTTGTTCAAAACACCTATGCATTCGCATCTTAATACGAGTGTCATCACTTAGCTAAAACTTTAAACACAAAATAAAGAGCAACAACACCACCAAAGCTTCAATAGCCTCACATCACATACATACATGGGTAGTGCAACTTCTTCCAACTCATTCAAACACTCACATTATTTCCCATCATCACCCTCACCACCACCTTTGTCCTCATCACCCCCTTAATCGCCCACCACAACTCTGCCATGTCATCGCCCTCAGTTCTCTCCACCAATCACTACTTTGTGCCATTCAAGCCAAGCACAAGTGTTCTAGTGGGTCTGTTAACCGCTACCTTCTCTCTCACCTTCCTTTTCCTCCTCTACATCAAGCATTGCAATGATGGCAACACCTTTGTCTCTCACTCAAGTTTCCAACCCTCACACGTGCGAAAAAACTCTGGCGTTGATCGTGATGTTCTAGATTCGTTGCCGACTTTCAGATTTGAGTCATTGAAGGGGCAAAAGAATGGACTCGATTGTGCTGTTTGTCTCGGCAAGTTCGAGGATTGTGAGGTTTTAAGGTTGTTGCCCGAGTGCAAGCATGCATTCCACATGGGGTGCGTAGACACGTGGCTTTTCACACATTCCACGTGTCCGCTTTGTCGCTATAGGGTCGAACCTGACGGCGTTGTTGATGGGTTAGATGTCGAGAAAGGACAAGACAACGATGTGTCGCGAGGAGAAAATGAGAACGCAGGCACGACGTCGTTTAGGAGGTCGTTAGACAGTGTGGTGGAACATGGGTTGGAGTTGGAGCATCGTATTATTGTCTCACCTTGCTCCAATTTGCGGGGTAGGGTTCACCAACGATGGAGTGATTTTCAGCCACGTGATGCATTGTACTTGACATCAGATATGGTCACGTGGAAGGCACATGGGGGAGGGGGAGGAAGAAGAAGGAGTGATAGTAGTAGTAATGTTGTTGGAGAGGTGATGGAGAACGATGGAGTGATGAAGAATGTGAGGAGTTTGTCAAAGGTGACAGGAATAAGGAGTGTTCAAGGTTTACTATTATTATTCTGACTTGGATATACTATCACGATGCGGTACGTGTTTATCTCATTGCATGCATGTTTGAAAATACAAGTTCAAAGCCAAAATGATGCCAATGACGTGAAAGTCATCTCTAGTGCTTCACATTTAATGTAGAAATTACATCACATATGTATTTCCAAAATTGTTGTTAGTTCAAAAAGAAGATGTTAATACATGATGTAGATTTTAGTTTAGATAAATCATGCAAGAGGGAGGAGAAGATAGCATTTTTGGACCTGATAGTACTAATTCTCTACCTTGCATTTGTATTTTGTTGCTTCGAGTAGGATTAATTTCACAATAATCAGTCAAACAAAAATTATAAGATGTTTTTTTTATTGAATGAATTTTTTTTTAGCGGTTTCTACTTTCTATTTTTGTTTAAAAGCATATATTAAAACATTGAAATTTAAATGAAATATGCAATTAGTTTTCTTTTAACAGAAAATATGCAATTAGTATGTAATGAATGTTAATATTACTCATTAAAAATGAAGGGTTTGTAAGATAGGTGAATAATAATGTATATATTACAAACCAATAAGGCCGGTCTAATGTTGAAATCATGTATTCTAAGTTTAGTACAACCATTATTAAAAAAAAAAGAATGGAGTGCTCAGTATCAAGATATAGTCAATGTTGAAGAGTTTGATAAGTTAATTGTCAAGAACATGATAGATATTTATTGATTAAAAATATGTGATCAAAAGTTTAAATACACAAAAGTAGAAAAATAATAGCATATTGGTAAAATACCTAATTTTGGTCCTTTATAATATTTTAAAATTTTAATTTAGTCACATTTTAATTTTTTGTTTCAATTTGGTCCATAATAATTTCAATTACTGTAATGTCAGACCTTCCGTCCAAATTTCTTAAACGGAGTTAACTGTTGGTGATGTGGATGTCATGTAGATACCACATAGATGTGTAGGTGGATGCCAAATTTCTTTAATGTATCTAGAACCAGAACGACCCGTTATGATTGCACTCGTGGTGTGTCAATTGTGCATTTGGAACGGCCCGTTCCAGATGTAGTAGTTAACACACAACGAGTGCAAGCAGAACGGGCGGTTCTGAAACCAGAAAGACCCGTTCTGGTTTCAGAACGGCTTGTTCTGGTTCTAGATGCATTAAAGAAATTTGACATTACATTTACGTGGCATCCACGTGGCCAACAGTTAACTCCGTTTAATAAATTTGGACAGAAGGTCCGACATTGTAATAATTTAAATTATTAGGGACCAAATTAAAAAAAAAATTAAAGTGAGACTAAATTGAAACTTTAAAATTTTATAAGGGACCAAATTAAGTATTTAACCTAACATATTTTTTAACAAATATTCTATTTTGGCTGACATTTATAGATAAAACAAACATATAAATAATATTTAATAATAAAATAATTATCAATTTTTCGTTAAAATAAATATAAATAAAAAAAATTTGTATGATCTTGTTTAATTATAAAATAAAAAATAAAAATTATAAATTAATAAAAATATGAGAAATAAAAGTATAATTTGATATTTCACATAGAGAAGCGAACACTATAGTGAAGAAATGAATAATTTATTTTATCGGTATCAAATAAAATAAATTAGATTATATATTTTAACATAAATATGGTATATTATTCACAACTCTTTAGGAAAGACAATGTAATTCACTTCAAAAGTTAATGAAATTTACTATATACCTTGGCAATAATATATATATATATATATCATAATCACTTACACACCCATACAAAAATATAATAAGAAAAGTAGTTAACAAATATAAACTTAATTTAATAATAGCAGTAAATAGATATAAACTTTATCTTTTATTAGTAGGATTGAAAAACTTCATATCTTCATTAAAAATAAATAAAAATAAAAATAAAAAATAATAAAAATATATTAATTCAATTAGTGTTGATTGGTCTTTGAGCCTTAAGTTCAAGCTGTGATAAATTTGATAAAAAAAACATATTAATTTTAAAAAAAATTAATAATAAAAAATTATAATAATCTACTAAATATGAAAATTAAGATAATTACTAAAACATTTATATATTATTATAGATTTCATTTCCATCAAAATTTATTTTTGTGTCCTTTTCTGTTTAAATAAATATGTTAAATATTAAAATAGTAAAGAGTTTAATGAATTTTTTTACATACGAGTTTAATAATTATATTTTTAATGTAGTCAATGAATCAATTCATATGATTTATTATTATTAATATATAATTATGTTTCTTATGTATTTATCGGTTGGAACCTGTTTTATTCGTATGTGTGGAAGAATATATGTTGGAACAAACAGAAATGGAGGTAAAAACTTGGTTTCAGAGGAGTCAATTTTCTTTAACATTTATATGTAAATATTCTAACATTATAAATAATTTATTTTCATTTATATTTTCTTAATCTATTTTTTTATTACATTATATATCAATTTCACATATATTTTTCCCCTTTTCTTTTTCTAGATATAAATTAATATGATAGTTTTCATCTATCTATCTATAAATTTTTTTTTAATGATTTTAGGGGCTGTCTCTAGGGAAAAATTAGTCTCTTAAATGAATGTTAGAAAAATGTATGAATATAAAATTTAATTATCTAATTTATTATGATTAAGGAAGTTAGTTAACTTTTTGTTTGAAAAAGACAAAGAATAATTTATTAATATGAGACTATTAAAAAGAATATCACGATATGTGATTTTCACTAGCAGAAGCAACAAAAACAAAATGTTCAAATCCAAAATATCCTCTCCTGCAATGAATGTACAAAATCAAAACTAAAAAGGCTGAAAATAGTAAAGAGAGTGAGAGAGAAAATTAATTCACAAATAATAAGAGAAAGTAAGACTATGCAATTCTTCCAAATGCAAGACAAGTTGCTTATTTCGCTTGCAAAACGAAATTTAACTCTTAGTTTTTGCTCTTATTCAGTCCCAAGATCTTCACTTCATATCCTCAAATAATTTCTCAATACAAAGACTTGTATTTTTAAAGACACATTAATTTTTATGTAGGCATAGTGAACACAAGAAGTTAGTTAACTTAGTTGATAGTATTAAATTTATCTTAAATCTAATTTTTTTCCCTCTAAATTATCTCTAACATAACAAGGCTTAGTCTACCAGTTACTTGTTGAATTAAGGGAAATGATTTTAAACAAGAATATTCTTTATGCAAAAATAGTTGGCCAAATTACATTAATTATTAGCTTCTTTGTTTTTATTTTTTATTTTTTGGGTAAAGATATAAAAAATTACAAAGATGGTTGAAATGAGAATTGAATCTAAATTCCCTTATTTCTAACTATCCCAATTCATCATCACCCAATCATAGTTTCTTTACTTTTGTTACTATGTGATTTTAATTTTTTTTATTTTAAAATAGAGACATTTAATTTTTATTATTTAAAATATAAAATTTCAGTTCTATTATTAATTTAATATTGATTGACCATTAAGTTTTAAAGTCAATTTATGACTTGTTATCATTAAAATTCTTGATATGACATTTAAAGATTATTTTAAAAAAATAGAAGTGAGTTATTAAAATAAATATAAATAAAAATCTTTTTGTATTTTATAAATTTAATTTTGTATTTATAAATATCACGTATTATCTTAAGTGGTACGAATAAATATTCAAATTTAATGGTAAATGAATGTTTAATTAATAGTAAAATCGAAATTTCATATTTTTAAGTGTATAATGATAGAATAAAATTGTAAATCAATCTATAAACATCAGGACAAACTTTATTCTGACCCTAAAAAAAATTATAAAATATTTTTAAATACAATGACAAAATTTGGTAAACACTAAATTCAATCCAACACAAAAGAAAAAAGAGAAAAGAGAAATAAGTGTAAATATAATAAATGAAATGATTTGAAAAAAAAGAGAGAAATAATAAATATTAAACAAAAAAAATGATAAATAAACGTGTTTAAATGTCACTACTTTCTCTGCATATAATTAAAAATATTTATATTTATATTTTGCACTAATAAGATCTCTTAAAATATTTTCATATATATTTTCTTAAAAAATATTTGTTTCACAATTAGTAATGCTTTTAAGTCGTTGACTAGGCGTGTGGGAAAATTTAATTTGTAATTTGTAATCATTGAAAGAGCATAAAAAAATGTAATAATTAGTTATTATTATTATTATTATTATTATTAACTAAAAAAAGAACTTCATATTTACATTGTATTGAAATTAAAAATGTAACGACTCGCTATGATTCCTACACTTATTAGAATCGCACTAAACTACTAATGAATTAAAATAAAATATTAGACGGGATAACAGTATATATATACATATATAAGAAGAGGTAAAATAATAAATATTTATATACAAAATAACACACTATGCATATACAGTCATCCAACAAATACTATCCTAGAGTCAGTCAAACACTAACAACTGTTACCCATAATGGTAACTTTGACACTAGGAACAAAATCCCACTCTCTGTAGCGTTCACCACAACCAGCTCTAACCTAGCCCTGATCTGCTCTCATACACGATATAATCATCGCAGTCCATCCACATGGAAACAGAAGGGTAAGCTAGAGTTCAATAAACAACCATACAAGTATAGGTAATGCTATACTACTCATTCGTCCAATCATCATCACAACACAACTACACAACTTATCATCAAATCTCAACTATCAACTCATTCATATACATTATATGCAATTTAAATGCAACAACACATGCAACATCAACTAATGCGTCATCACGCATGTACAATTAGGAGATCTCCAACAACTGAGGTTGAGCAGTCTAGGTGGCATAAACCCTACTGAATCCAATATTTGACCAATCTCAACCAGGTCAGGTATATGACATCGTTAGGAACTCCGAAGAGAACCAGGTATAGACAACAATAGGCGATTACTCGGGTGTGCCACTTAGACTCGGAGGTCCAGTACTACTGTCAGGATAGAAGGGTTTGGGTATGGGTCTACCATTGCCTTGGTCTGCATAACCAATCCACATATGGAGTTAGCACACCCACTGCCCTCCAAGTACCACGCACCCTCCAATACCTAATCAAAGACTACATCTCTAACTAGATATCTTACTCAATTTGGTCATTCAACCATGACATGGATCGACTACTTCCATATCGCCCACACAATACTAAGAGATTCAACTTTAAAATAACTTTCAACTTATCATCTTAGTACTATATATCTCAACATAGGACATATATCTTCACCATATGTCCCCAACTTTACAACTTTACAACTATAGGCATCATAACAACTTTACAACAATAGCCATCTTTACAACAATAAGCAACTATAGTCATCAATTTCAACTTCAATAACTTTAAGACAACATTCAACTTTACAGCAATAAGCATCTTTATACTACTTAATTAAACAACTAGAGCAACTATAGTCAACACAATATAAACTTTACGACTTCACAACAATAGTCATCCGATAACTTTAAATCAACTTAATGCAACTTAACAACTTTAAACGACTTTACAACAATAAACTACTTCAACTTATACATCTCAAATTATTAATAATTCAACAATAAACAACATGAAAACAACTTAGTTTCACCAAATCCACAACATATAACAACTTTAACAACATATCACACATTATCAACACACAACATTTTCATCACATAACACAACTCATACTACATGTTTACAACCCATCTATCATGCCAACCTACACACCCAAACAACATCAATCAACCTAAGCACTCAAAACAATTTTCAACTTAACCAAATCACTTATTGTGAAATGGAAACCTTCAAATAAAATAGCATATATGAAGTTATACTACTCCTTATCATGCTCATTTTTATCTCATATGAAAGATAAGAAGATTTCCTATAACTCTCATGAAGACACCAATTCCTAATCCCACCATCTCCCTTGTTAAAAATTATAAAAACCGCAACAGCTATAACCAATGTTGGCAGCTTGACCCCTGTTCACTAAAACATCTATATCTGGAGTTCTAGACCTCCTTTTTGGGTGATTCTAGCGCCATTGGAAAGCTAACATCCAAGGCTACAACTTTCATGAAGACTTAAAGACCAAACATACTCACGCCCGGCGCATTCAGATCATGCTCGGTGCCAACTCAAATAGAGACTCACAAGAGTCTCAACGCCCGGTACGACTAGCCTCGTGCCTGACATGATTTGATAATGGTGGCCCCGGATGAATGCACGCTCAGCGCATGTTCAACCAGAAACCTCCAAAAATCTTGAAAATTCCTTCAAAACCTGAAAATCAACAACTTCAACCACATGCAATCCATGAAATGAAATGCATAGACTTCATACAACTCAAAAACAACCTTAGATCTAACATGCAACCACACCATGCATCAAAATCATCAAAGAATCCCGTTTTTCCCAAAACCCCAAAAAATGAGTAATTCTTCAATTCAAACAATGATTCTCAACATTCTTACTCCAAATGAGTTCCTAAACTCACATACAACCAATGAATCTATAATCTAGCTTTCCTTACCTGAAGATTGGCTCTGAACAACCAAGAATTTGGGAAGAAGAAAAACTTTCCTCCGAGCTCGACTCCCAAACTTCAATCCTTTAAAATCAAGCTTGCTAGCCTGAATTTCAAGAGAAGACAAAAGAAGTTAGTGATCTAAAGAAAAAGAATAATCAACCAGAGAAATTTGAGAGGGAAAGAAGTTCATGGACCCAGAGTCCTTCTCTCTAAAACTTCTCTCTAGTTTCTTTGAGAATGAACTTATGAAATTTCTTTCTCAGAGAAACCTTTATATACTCTTCTCTCTCTAGAGTCAACTAAACTCAAAAATCTCCTCACTATGTTACAAAAAAATAATTATTTTTATGAGTAGTTATTATAGTTTAAAAACAAAATAATTAAAAAAAAAGAATAGGAGTTACCGGTAAGAAAATATAATTTTAAGTTGTTAAAAAAAATTAAGGAGAAAATAATTTATATAAACATAAAAATAAAAAATAATTATTTTAAAGACATTCCTTGATAAAACGATATAGGTAATATAGAAAATTTTATGTTGATATTACATTCACCATCGTTCTTTATGACTGGTTTAATAACATTTTTATACATTATTTATTTCATTATTAATTTTTTTTCATAATATAAAACTATTTTCTTTTTATATTTTCAAACACAATTTTCTAAAAAGTTTTATATCCCTATTCTGGTATACCACTTGAAACGCAAATTTTCTTTTTTCTTTTCTTGTGGGTGTTTTAAGTAGATTTGTTTTGTTAATATCTTATTTTTGTTACTACTTTTCTGCATATTATTTTGGTAAATTTTTCTGTTAATTTGACAAAAAGGATGTGATTCTTTCCTTAAATTTGTTGAAAATTCGTAGATTTTTTTCTTCGTAATCTCATACAAATTTTGTTTTGTATAATAAAAAATAATGTTTTCTTAATTTTTTTTAAAGATATAATTTTTTTTTCTTCGATTTATTTGATTTAGTAGTAGATAAGGGAATAAAAGTTGTTAAAAAAATCTTTTAAAAAACGTGTCATCAATAAAGTAAAAAACTATTTTAATTTCGTAAAAAATATTAAATAAAATAGTTAATATTTTCATAATATTATTAAATAACATATTAAAATTTGTTACATTCTAATTATTTATTATATAATTTTGATTTAGCCTCTCCAATTTTTTTCCTCAAGTTTTCCTTTGTTGTTATTAAAGGTATAAATGGTTAATGATATACTTAGAAATTTGACTTACTCAAACCAACCCAATTATATTTTGGCAAGTTGGATTGGATAATTTTTATGTTACCTAATTATAATTTGGTTGGGTAATGAGTCAAAGAATTTACTAGGTGATGAATCCGAACTAACTCGACTTATAATAAATTATTAATTTAAATTAAAAGTACTACATACAACACAACATATAATACACTTATTTACATATATTTAATTATACATTTTTTTTCTATAAATGTTATAGCAATAAGTTGATTGACTAAATTGAAAAAGTATAGAACAAAAAGAATAACTTAATTTTATTTGTTATATAATTCAAATTTTGTTATTTTAGTGACATAATATTTGTTTGTTAGAAATATTTGTGATTTGTCATGTATGATTATTGTAATGTTATATATAATTAGAATTATATATTTTTTTATGCATAGTTTAAATTATGTATTTTAATTTGAATTAAATATTTTACTTTTATCTATTTTTTTCAAATTTTCAAATATATTATTTTTTAATTGTTCGATCTGATGACACAACTTATAGTCGAATTTGATTGGTTAAAAAAGTTTACAAATCTAACTTGAACCAATTCAATTTTATTAAATTTAATTGAGTTAAATATTAAAATAATTTAAATCTGACCTGTTCACACTTATAATTCTATCTTTTCTTTATCATGACTTTATTTATTATATTTATTAATGATAAATAAATAGGCATAAAATACATTGTTGATTAAGTTGTTGCATATTTTTGTTATAGTATCAATACCTTTTAAAAACAAGTAATATACAATAACTTTTACAACAGTTTTTGCATTTCCCTCCATTATTAATAAATGTAATAAATAAAGTTACAGGAGATGACATAAAAAGTAATATTGTACTCTTTTGTCACAAAATGGCTGTAATTTAAACATTGAAAAGATGTCACAACATGAATAATATTCTCACCTTTTAATAATGTAATATTAATAATTTTCATTTAAGTTGTTTTTTCACAAAGTATTTAACTACTATAATTAAAACTAATAGATTTATTAGGAGGGTGAACCATTTAGTAAAATTGTATCAAAAGTGATAATTTTTTTTAATGTTTGTGTATGAACTTTAAATTGCAATATTATAGTAAGAGAGAGTATAAGTTATAATTGTACAATTTGGTTGTGCATATATGGTTATTTTTTTTAATAAATAATGATACATGTATAATAAAATTGTGCACCAATTTATATAATATTATTTTTGTGTGTATTTTTTTCTACTATTAATAAATATTTCTCTACGTTATAAATGAAGTGATAAAGAAACATAAACATAAAAAAGTGATGTTGTATATATATAATTATGCTTTTAAAATTAAGAAACTAAATATTTTTATTTTAAAATAAATAATAATACATGTATAACTTCATTTTTTTATTCATCTCTCTTCATTATCACTTTATTTATGATGGAGAGAGATATATTTATTAACATGAAGAGAGTTAGACAAATAATATAATAATATACAAATTACTACTATATAAAATCCTTATTATAACACCAATATAATTAATTCACCAATATATATTTTAAAATTATACTGAAATTAATAAGATACCTAATATATATTTCTAAAAAATTTGTATTTATAAAAAGAGACTATTTATATTTTAAAAAGTATAGACTAAATAAATTTTTACTTACATTTTTAACTCAATAAATATATTTAATAAATATATTTTTTAAAAGAAAAAATTAATATTTGAGACATAAAAAATTAAGTCTTATAAAAAATATCAAACTAATTTAAAAAATTGGACTTAGTGATTAAATTAATTTAAAAATTCGAGTTCTATATTAAAAATTGAAAAAATATATAATTTTATTGTACATGTATCAAAATTCTTTTAAAATATGAACTAAAATTGCACATATATATATTTTTAAAAAAAGATTAAATATAATTTAGCCAAAATATTTAATACATTATTTATTACATGTAACATTTTTTTTCAATAAATTAAATTGGGACAATCATCGTCTCGAATGTAGCCTCTGATAAAAAATGTCTCCCTGTGTCCTCAACGAGTGAGTGCGTCTTCTTCAGTCAGTCTTCGGCCACCGCCACCGCCACCTTCACACTGAGCAGAATGCAGAGCGCCACGCGAGTGGAAGCGGAGCGCCTCCTGGGGATCTCGGAGAAGCTCCTCCAGAACCGCGATCTCATGGGTTCACGGGAGTTCGCCATCCTGGCCCAGGAGACCGAGCCCCTCCTCGAAGGCTCCGACCAGATCCTCGCCATCGTCGAAGTCCTCCTCGCCGCCGACAAGCGCGTCAACAACCACCCCGACTGGTACGCCGTCCTCCAGGTGGACCGCCGCTCCGACGACCTCGACCTCATCAAAAAGCAGTACCGCCGCCTCGCCCTCCTCCTCCACCCCGACAAGAGCCGCTTCCCATTCGCCGACCACGCCTTCAAGCTCGTCGCCGACGCCTGGGCCCTCCTCTCCGACCCCCTCCGCAAATCCGTCTACGACAAGGAACTCTCCTTCTTCTCCCGCGTCGATTTGTCCGTCCCCGGATGGGTCCAGCAGGAGAAGCTTCCCGTCCGCAGGACGGGCCCTGGGCCTGGGCCCGGGCCCAGCGCCCGCAACAGCGCTGCGGCCCGCGACGAGATTCACGCGGACGAAAACTCCCGCAGGAGAAACTCCACTTTCTGGACCGCATGCCCCTACTGTTACCGTTTGTACGAATACCCTAGGGTTTACGAGGCTTGTTGCTTACGCTGCCAGAATTGCGAGAGATCCTTCCACGGCGTGCCGATTCCGTCGCTGCCGCCGCTGGTTCCCGGCCAGGACGCTTATTATTGCTGCTGGGGGTTTTTTCCCATGGGATTCGTTCTCGGAAGCTTCGGTTCTCCGGAGAAAGAGGCGGCGGCGGAGCCTCCGCCGCCTCCGCCGCCTGCTACGCAGCCGGCTTCTACCTTACCGAACTGGATGCCGGTGGTATCAGCCAACGGCGGGGAGAGTGCACAGGCGACGCCTGTGCCGGTGGCGAGGGTGACTAGATCGGGGGCGGCGGCGGTGGCCGGAGGTGTTTCAAACGGGACGGGGCCGAAGAAGAGAGGGAGGCCGAGGAAGTACCCTTTGCCGTCGTGAGGGAAGGGTGGAGAGTGGAGAGTGGAGATTGTAGGTACTATTGTTGTGTTGTTTAGTTTTTTGTTGTTGTTTTGTAGATATGGTTAACTGGTTGTCTCGTCTGGAGATAGATTGGGCTTTGGGGTTTTGGTTTTTGCTATGGGGTTCATTGCAATTGTATGTATGCCTTGTTGTTGAGGAGGAGAACGATGTGGCCAGTTATCTATAGTTGAAATTAGATTCACATGGACTTTGAGGATGTTAACTTTGTTTTGAATGGTTTTGCTTGCGGAAACTAATTTTCTAAGTTAGCACCTTTACTGTCATCAACGTACAGTTGTGGTTCCATTGAAACACTGTAAATGTGGGTGCTGGGATCTTGATTGTGGTTATGTTACAGACTTTGGCCATGGTAGAGTTGTTGTTGCCATTATATTTTTCGAGGAATCTTGTTGTGGAAGTATGTAGTTACGTTTGAATTACCATTGAGCACTTAGTTATGTTTGAATTACCATTGAGCACTTAGTTATGTTTGAATTATCGTTGGAGGATGCTTGTTGTTGGAACTTTTTGCAGTGTGATTTTGGAAGATTTGCTTGGGTATTCCAAACATGCACATAGTTGTTGAGTTGATTTATGTTAAAATTCTTAACATGAGATGTTTGAATTACTGTTGGAGGATGCTCGTTGTAGGAACTTTTTGTAATGTGAGTTTGGAAGATTTGCGCTGGTAATCCAAACATGCACATTGTTGTTGACTTGATTTATGTTAAAATTCTTAACATGAGATGTTTGAATCACCATTGGAGGATGCTCATTGTAGGAACTTTTTGCGATGTAGTTTTGGAAGATGCAAACGTGTGTGTAGTTGATTTGTTTTATGTTAAATTTATAAACATGAGATGTCTGAATTACCGTTGGAGGATTGCTCATTTTAGGAACTTTTTGTAACATACTTTTGGAACGGATAATCCAAATGTGCTCGAAGTTGTTGACATCTTTTATGTTAAAGTTCTTAACTTGGAATGTTTGAATTACGGTTGCTTTACCGTTGGAGGGTGCTAGGTTTTTTTTTATTATTTGTAATGTAGTTTTGGAAGACTTGCACAGAAAATGCCAATATGCACATAGTTTTTGACTTGATTCATGTTAAAATTCTTAGCGAGATGGGTTGGATCCAGTCCCATGCTGATGCTTTATGTCCTTTCAATTTAGATTTTGATAGATATGATGTTGGATTACTGTTTTGAATTGATGAATAAGAATGCGTGTTTGAATTAATCTCAGTGATTTTGATTTTGCACTGTAATGTGTGTGGAGGGATGTGAATTGATCATGTGTGTTAGTCACCTGATAAACACTGCTGAGTGCTGAGAATAAGGAAAAATGAAGAGAATTAACATACCTTCGTAATGAGAGAGTTTGGTATCTATAGGCTCTTTGTGGGTGGCCATTGCGCTAGAACAAGTTTTGTCTCTAGTCAGCTATAAGGTCTTCTCCTTCTTGTGCTATGTGATTTTGCTCCTCAAGCCTTTTTTTACCATTGTAAAATCAGACAACTGCACTGCAATGGCTATTTGGATTCACAACAATTGCAATTTTCTTCTTGCACATAGTGAGCGAATTGGAAATGTTGGATAAAGACCAGTCAACTCTAATTCTGATACAAGTTGAGTGTTAAAATTTGAGTCATTTAATTTTCATCCTATGGTTCCAATGCTCTCACTGCGGAAATGTGTGGAAATTGTGAATCTGAATCCTGGCTAATGGCTTTACATGATGACTATTTTTTGCAATAATGAAGTGCTTTGTGAACTTGTAAAACCATTTGAAAGTACAAATTGGGAATATAGCTTAATGCTCTCATAAGTGTTCATCATTGTTGTAGTAGTTATTACCAAGTCTAAACATTTCATTTTCTTATAATATAGTCGTGTCTGCTTACCTTTTTCAAAGCATTTGTTTCCCTGTAATATCTAATCAGAAGAAAATTCTATCTAGAGGATGCTTCAACCCGAGATTTACGTATGCGGAATCAGAAGCATCCAGTTTAGACGTTATATACATTTAAGTGTGAGACTTCTGATCAAGGCACCCATTAGTAAGCACAAAAAGCCATTGCTGCATTCAGGGGCTACATTCCTTTGCAAACTGATATTTTATGTAAGCACTATGACCTATGAGGATTAATCAAAATCCAACACCGTGTAGCTTGATTTTATGCAGTGTTCAGTGGCTGGTGAGGTCATCTACTATCTCGTGTCGTGCCGCAGGCTATGTTGCATGGGCATGGGTATATATCAGATATAGATACGAAATGACTCTTTGAAAATTGAAGACATGGGTGTGTTAATTTTTTAAGCACAGATATAAGTTGATTAAAGTTTCTATATTTTTGTTTTTATTTTTGTCCATTCAAATAATGCGTTTTTTTTCTTCTAATTTTACTCTAATTTAGTAATTTCTCTATATCTATTCTCTTTATTTTTTTTCAAGTAGGCTCGATAAAAATTTACATAATACATATCTAAGTATCATAAGCACCCTTAAACTTGTTGCTCAAGTATAATGGTGTTGCCAAATAAATGTATGCTAAGCACTTTATCTTGAATGTGAATACTTATTTTCGGATATGACATTTGTAAGAATGCCACAGTGCAAACTCAAATTTGTGGCCCCAGAACTAAATATCTCTTTTAAAGATCATTACTTATTTGACTGCAATGAATACAAATGAAAAGAAGCTGGATCAAGATGCCTAAAACTATTCATCACGATTCTTTTATTCTTCGGTGCAAGACATAGCTCAAATTATATGAAGACAACTGGGAACCGCCCAATCAGCTATTTTTTCCTCTATTGTTTTTTTTATTTCTCTGGGCCAAGCTCCAACACCCACTCATTGATGTTTGTATTCTTCTTGATGCTGTTAGTGTTAGTGGACCCAGCAACTAAATCGAAGCCCATAAGATTTCCTCACCTTCCTTTCCTCTTCTTGTTGACAATGTATTAGTTTGTTTAAAATTAAAAGAAAAAAAAAGAGTGTTTTTGTAAAAGAAATAAATTTTTAAAAACAGATAGAAATTATTATTTTTTTAAAATGATTATTTTATTAAAAAAAGTGATTTAAAAAATATTAAAACAAATGGGGTCAACGTTGGATTGTAGATGTAAAGGGCTTTGCACAAAGATCAACAGAGCTAGCGAAAACCAATAGGTCTTAGTAATTTACTACTCCAACCCAATTTAATGTTTTTTTAGTCTTCCAAATGCAAACGACTTCTTAACATAAAACCTTTCTGTTTGATGGCAAAATACCAAAGTACTGTTTGAGATGTTATAAATTCTAGTAAAATTATTTTGTTTGAAATTTTATTTTTAATAAATAACATATATAATACATTATGTATATTATCAATTATTTCTAAGAAATTATTGTATAATCTTAATTATTCTTCTCATGATGTCACACGTGTAGTTTAATTAGTATTATTAATTTTTTTACTATAAATTGAAAAACTCTACTGCAAGATTTGATCATAAACTGTCTAATAATTTTTTTTTCTACTTTATTCTTCTTCCGTTTTTTCTTTCAAAATTTACAATCTTGTTATATTTCGAGTGACAGAAACCAAACCACAAAATAATTAAAAAGAAGAATTTATTTACTTACAAATAATTCCGTAGTACAAGATGAGAGGATAATTACAAAGGGAGGTATTTGGAGAGAGATAGGCTATAATCAGAGTGTAGAGGATTGATTTTCTCCTTACAATTGAGAGGTCTTTATAAATACAAAGGTTGAGAAATTCAAACAAGAAAAATTGAATAGGATCCACATTACTTGAAAACAAGATTTCCTTAGAGAATTTTTATGTCAACAAAGCAACTGGCCAACAAGGACTAAAAAATAATTCTTTTTTTTTTCATTTTTCTGATTCTATCTTCTTCTTTTTTACTTATTTTATTTTAGGCTACACCAAAGATCAATAATTTTGAATTGGACATGTGTGCTTCTTGTAAAATCCTGTTCTTTTTAAAAATAAATAAATAAATTATAAATTAGAATTATTTGAATAAAAATGAAATATTTTTTATAAAATAAAAAGGAACTCATCAATCTATTATTTGATAACTCACAAATTTTCAGTTGATATATTAGTTCGTTAGTATGAGTAGAGTGTATTAAAATTTTACATCACTTAACTATATAACAAATATAGTATATATATATATAAAAGGGAGAAATATTTCATTTTATAAAATTTGAGTTAAGTTTGTAACTAAAATCAAATATTTTATAAAATAATAACTAGGTGTTGCACTTCAACCATGGTAATGGAAAAATAAGCAAGAGTCAGCATTATTAATTCATAAGTGGCACCGATAATAACAGCATGATTATTGCATTTTAATGGGACTCAGCACCTTTTTTAGGTTATATGTGTACTTTTTTTTATCTTTTGGGGATTCATGTGTTTCTCTTTGTATAGTTGAAACATGACATAATATAGAGAGTTGAGAGTTGGCATAGCGACAATAGGGATGCATGCAGCTTTTTTGGGACAAGAATCAGACCGACCATCCGTAAGGGTTGGTACTGTGACAAATTCTTTCGCCTTAACTGTTCACACTTTTGTCTCACCTTTTTCCCTCCCTTTTTTACTTTCTCAATTTTTGAAACCTGAATATTGGAATTTCCAACCACAACCTTTCATCCAGGTCAGTTTTTCCCTGGTTCTGTGCCACAGAACCAACAACATTACTCTCATCTTATTAAACTTTATTATTAAATTATTTTTTTATTTTTTATTATTTAGAGGGGAGAGATACTGATGATAGTTCCAAAGACCGATGTTTGAACTTTGAACACTGAAGAGTTAATTTTGGCGATAAATTCAAAATCTCTCTTAAAAACTAATGTGAATAACTGATGGTACTATAATATTTAGATAATGGTTCTGAGAATCTTTATGCTTTCAATCTGTCTAGGTTGAAACATTATGATGATTGGATTTGATTTTAAAAACGTATATAAATGATCGATGATTTTAAAACTTGTTTATTTCATTTAAAAAAGAAAACTTATCACCTAAAAAGACCACAACGAAAACTAACCTAACTATGAGTACATGTACTTCGATCTTCTTTACATAGACAAATCTAATGATTCAATTTTTTTTAATAATTTAACTAGAATTGTAAAATTACGTACTTAAAGTAAATATCTTAAGTCATTGTAAATTAAAACTTCTTAATCTTGGAAAGTGATTTGTATTACTATTTGATGTAAATGAAGAGAACAGTCTACACCAATTCATCCTCGCATAGTTAAGAGCACATGAAAAATGATTGCTATCTATAAATCTTTTGTATCGTGTTAGTGTGTATAATCAAGAAGGTCATGAAATTATGGAAGAACTTTTTCCCAAACCCTATGTATTTAGCTATATTAATTCGCACATACTAGCTAGTACATTTCTAAATTTAAATTAGGATCTAATATAAAAA